GATCTATTTATTGAGGCAAAATTGGATTTTTCTGTATTCCACATGAATCCCAGATAATTAAGTTTGTCATTTGGTATTATTTGATGGTTTTCAGGGTTATCTTGCAATTCGTTACATGTCGTTTTCCGGAGAGCAAAAGTTTCTTTTTGAATGCATTGAGTTTTATGCCGTTTAACTTATTGTAATCATTACACTTTGTAATAAGCCTTCCAAGACCAGACAGAGAAGAGCTAAGCAGAATGATGTCGTCAGAATAAGTAACAACACCTGTGAAACTTCTGTGAATTATCATTTTTAATAGTTTCAAGTAAGTTTTGAGTGAATATGTTATAAAAATGGGGCCGCAAAACTAATCCTTGCCTTTCACTTTGCTTAAGAGCAAATGGAACTGAAATGGAACCAAGGTAAAAGACAGTTGCACTGCTGTTTTGATAAAAAGAAGATACAGTGTGAACTATTTGGAGAGGTAGGTTTTTATCAAAGTTTAGTTTATCAAAGAGAAGATTCCAGTTGCAACGGTCAAAAGCTTTTTCAGCATCTAGCAAACATAAGTAAATAGGCGAACTGTTGTTAAAATACGGAAAAAGAATATATAAAATTAAAATAAGAAACTAAATAAATAAGTAAAATATGACTTAAACGCAAATAGTTTCGGCTTTTCACCGTGAACATCACCGCGAGCGGACGTGTTCTTTTTATTATCTTACTAACAAATTAAAAATGGATCTAACGTTAAAAAACATCGAAAAGTTAATAACAAGCAAGCTTGAAGAACAAAAAGCTTATATATTATCGGAAACAAGCAAGTTATTAAAAGAGTAAGAAAAAAACTTTACAGTAATAATAAGTGGAAACTTAAAAATTCTCGCCGAACGACTAGATAAGCTTGAATACGAAGTTAAACGAAATAAATCAAACAATACTATAATTGAAAAAGATATACATGAAATTAAAGAGAGCCTAAAATTTAATGGAGCCTTAAAAAAGACATGGGACATTTTGAAGGAAATAATTGGTAAAGGCATAACTAATTCTAACAAAATGCCTTCTAGAATAATAATTAATCAAAAGGAATCAAACAATAAGCGTGATATTTCTAATGAATTCAACAGCTACTTTGCCAATATTGGTGTTGATCTTGCATCAAAGATTCAATGCTCAAACAATTCATTTAAAAATTACTTAACAGGCTCACACTGCTCCTTAAATTTCAACGAACTAAGCAAGACGAACTTGAGATAGCTAAGAAATCACTTAAAATCAAGTCCCCAGGAATTATTTACCAAATATTTAACTCATCAGTTACAACAAGTATTGTACCTGATTTTCTTAAAATCTCAAAAATTATACCAATCTATAAATCAGGAGAAGGTAACTCCTTAAACAATTATAGACCTATTTCAATCCTTTCGGTATTTGCAAAACTTCTTGAGCGAATTATCTACAATAAATAAAATCAATATTTAAAAACTAATAAAATTATTAATAAAGGTCAATGCAATCCTTGATCTCTCAAATAGGATTAGTAAATCATTTAAACAAAAAAAATCACGTTAGGAATCTTTATTGATTTGTCAAAGGCGTTTGATACCGTCAACCATGAGATTTTACTGACAAAAACGGAAAATTATGGCGTTAAAAATAAAGCTTTAACTTGGTTTAAAAACTACCTTAATGACAGACACCAGTGTGTTATTATAGAAAAAAAAAGCAACTCGAATTTACTGAAAACAAAATGTGGTGTACCCTAAGGTGGACCCTTAGGGTACACCACATTTTGTTCTTGCTCCTCTTTTGTTTCTTATTTACATAAACGATCTCCCAAATGCCTCTAATATTTTCAAAACTATAAAGTTTGCCGATGATACAAACTTATTTTACTCATCAAAGACTATTGAAGACTTATTTAAAAAAACAAATAATGAACTAAAAAAAATTAATATACGGTTTAAATCAAACAAACTATCACTCAATATAGATAAAACTAAATATATTCTATTCCACTCTACTCAACAAATTAAAAAGCTTCCCCTTAACCTACCAACAATTAATATAGAAAATATAATCATCGAAAGAGCTCAAAATACAAAGTTTTTAGGTGTTTTAGTTGATGTACACATCTCTTGGAAGCCCCACATCAACTATATAAATACAAAAATATCAAAGAACATAGGTTTACTTTATAAGGCAAGATCTTTCTTGACACAAAAAAGTCTAATACTCGTTTATTTTTCATTCATACATAGCTATCTTATGTATGCAAATATAGCATGGGGCAGTACCCACATAACTAAATTAAAACCGCTTTATCTGCGTCAAAAGCACGCTTCAAGACTAGTGTTCAACAAAAACAAACTTACTCATGCTCAAGCCCTACTGGAGCAAATAAACGCTTTAAATATTTTTCAAATTAATATTTATCAAAATATACTTTTCATGTTTAAATATAAACTAAGTCTGGTTCCATAACATTTTTACACTTTTTTGAAAACAACGTAAACAAATACAATACAAGAGCAATGGGAAACATTAAGATACCCTTTGAAAAAACTAAACTCTCAAAATTTTCAATAAAACATCGTGGTCCCTATTTATTTAACAAATTAATTTCTAGAAACGAATCGCTAATAAATTTAAACAACGAACAGTCCCTGAAAACAAAATTAAAATCTACAATAATCAAGTTAAACAACTACAAGGAGTTTTTTTAAACTCCAATTTAAAATTTAAAAATAAAAATAATATAAAACGACCCTAATAAAACAAAAAATGTAATTTTTCAAAAGAAACAATAAAAATAATACTAAAAGGAGATAGTAACATTAAAAATTTTAAGGCATATATGTATCACATACATATTTACCACGTATGCAACTGATTTTTATATGTATTACACGTCTAGAAGGTACTCGATGACAAGACTGACCCCAGTCTTCTGCGAGCTTCCTATAACTACAAACAATTAATTATTTTCTTCAATCTTATACAAATCTTGTTTTTATATAATTAAATATTCATACTTATATATATATATATATATATATATATATATATATATATATATATATATATATATATATATATATATATATACATATATATATATATATATATATATATATATATATATATATATATATATATATATATATATATATATATATATATATATATATTATTTTAATTGAAAGAATATAGAAGGTTTATTTCTTGGGTAATTTTTACGTTCAGGTTATTCTATTGTGTACTTTGTATTTATTTTTATCATGTCTCAAAGTTGAATGTAAAAATATTTTAGATTTATCCCTTATTTATTTTGGACTTTATGTTTACGATATTTATATTTGTATATCTTTATTCGCCAATCGGTGATTGGTCAATTGTAAATACTTTGTAGTTGTAAAATAAACACGTTAAAAATATATATATATATATATATATATATATATATATATATATATATATATATATATATATATATATATATATATATATATATATATATATATATATATATATATATATATATATATATATATATATATTTATATATATACATTAAAAAAAGTATACTATTGTAAGAAAATATTTATATTAAAAAAGTTTTTATTTACGAATAATTTGATTTATATTTCCGCATAACCCTGTAATATATAATGGAAGTAAAATCTGTTAACTACAATTAAACTTACAATTGAAGTAAGATCTAACAATTTTTTATTCTATATTAAATAATTATTTAAAATAATTATATTAGTTTTAGAAATTAAGTAATATCTTTAAAACTACAATACTTTTATAAAAGTTTTTTTTATAAAATACGTGCGATTTTTATAATTAAAACGAATCGCACAATAAACAATTTTTTTAATTTAGGTGCCCCAAAAAGTTCATACGGTTTTATCACAGAGCACCACAATTTGATTCCAAAAACACCACAAAGTTGCAGTTGCGTTCTTTTGTAGAGAATAAAAGAACTTGTGAAATTTTTTTAAAGTTCGAGCAGCAATTGTTTTATATGCTTACATATAAACATAATATTAATGACATAAAATCCTTTTTTTTTTTATGTTAAAAAAACGAAAACCATATATTTTTTTGTTTTATTTTTTTTAACAGAAAAAAATAAAGATAATTTGATAACTTTGAGCCCTATAAAATATTTGCTCCCGGGGCAATATCCCTTTTGCCCCCCACCTCGCTACGCTACTGCTTGGTGCAGCACCAATAAAACAAATACAAAAAATCTATTTAGCAAACAAAAACATGCAATCAGATTATTATCAAATGCCTCTCACATTCTAGACCATTTTCAACAATCTAGAAATATTAAATTTGTACTAATTAAATATATATCATCTGCTAATTTTTATGTATAAAACTAACAATAATACAATACCAAAGATCTTCAAATCATTATTTAATAAAGTTCAACACAAATGCATGACTAAATATTCAAATAACAACTTTGTTCAACCCAAAACTATATGAGTCAACCAAGTTCTCAATAACTATTAGAGGACCTAATGTATGGAATAAGTTTATTAGTAATGATATTAAAAACTTAAAACTCTTGAACAGTTTAAACAATAGCTAAAAATATTGCTTTTAAATAACAATCAAACAGAGAATTATTCTTAAATCTATCTTTAAAAATATTATATTTGAAAATTATCTATTATTGCATACTTTATTTGTCTGGAAAGGACTAAAGTCTTTAGTTATATATACATTATTGTCAATTGTACTATGAAAAAGTAATTATGGATTTACAGCATTCATGTACGAATGTGTGTGTATGTGTATATGTATACGTGGGCAAGTGTGTATATATATGCATATATACATACATCGCGACGTTAGAATTATCTTGTGCTATCTCCAATTTTTGAAAAAATTGAGATTTTATTATTTTCGAATATTTTAGCATTGTGTTGTTTTACTTTAACTATATTGAAAAAAAATGAAACTTTTAACACGGTATTGCATGCAATATTGCATTGTTCTATCTCCTTAATGAGCAAACTTGAAAATATTATCTTGTTCTATCTCCAATCAACCAATCATATTACAATTACAAAGTTGTTCGGAATAATTTTATCAGTTTTGTTGTTTTCAAAATGGCAACTGCAAATATTGACCAAGAAATGGAACCTGCCCTAAATCAAAACGAAGGTAGTTTTTCAACTTAATTTGTATTATAATTTTGGAAAAGTAGAATTCGACTTTCGCTTGTGCCATTTTAGATTAAATTTAAAAGTTATTATTTATACATCCTGGATAATAAAAAATTAATATTTTAATCGTTAGAGCTGCTTGGCATTACACCTTCTCGTCGGTCGCCCCATAATGGGGTTTCTAGGAAACGTAAAGCTGATAGGAGTAGTTGGAAACAAAGTGTAAGAAAAATCCAACGTCAGTCGGGTAAAGCTTATAAAAATACGAAAGGAGAACAAATGCCAAAAAGATCTATTGTTGCACTAAAAAGTTGCAGAAATTGTAAATTTAAATGTTCTACCAATATATCTGAGATTGAGCGTCAAATAATATTTGATAACTTTTGGACCTTAGATGATGACGGAAAAAAACATTTCTATTGTAAAACTACTGAAAATCTGGAGAAAAAACGCTGTCGGACAGCTGCTGGTGACAATTCAAGAAGAAAAACATCTTATTATTATAGCTTTTTTGTTTCTAATACACAATATAGAGTTTGTAAATCATATTGTCTTTCAACATTGAATATTAGCAGCCATAGAGTGTTTTACTTTCATAAGTTTAATAAATCTTTAACTACTGGAACACCATTGCAATCAAAATCAGGGAAACATGTTAAAAAAAGGTTACTAGAAGAGTCTAAACAAGTTGTACGAGACCATATTAACCTTTTCCCAAGAATTGATGCTCATTATAGCAGGAAAAAGACACATAAAGAATACATGGAAGGATCACTAAATATAGGTAGAATGTATGATCTTTATAAAATATATTGTGATGAAAATGTCTCTCCTCCAGCAAAAGAACATATGTATCGTTATATCTTTAATCACGAGTTCAATATAGAATTTCAAAAACCGAAGAAAGATTTATGTGACACATGCTATGAGTATCGCAACATTGTTAATGCAAGCAATGAACAAACAGATAGTTATAATAAGCACATAAAATCAAGGAATGATACCAAAACTGAACAAAATCCCTCTCTGCTGCAGAAATATTTAGTCCACTTGGGCTAGAAAGAGCTATTAAAAATGTAAACCGTAAAAAACCTTTCTGTGTTTACCAAATGCAATTAGGAGATGTAAAGAATTTTTCAGTTGTCGCTGGTTTGTCAAGTTATAAGTTAGTGCCTTATTCAAAGGTTAAAAATCAGATAATTATTCACAAGCTCGTATAAATAAGTCTGTCAAGAAAGCAGCATTAACCATTGTTGCAAAACCATTAAATACCAATATGCCAATGGCAGCTTGCTTTCGTGCTTCTTATCAGTCTATATCTGTTGCAAAAGCCAATGATATCATTTCCATGTATTCATACATGCCTGCTGTTGATATTGCATTTTATAAAACAATAATAAATTGAACATTTACAAAACATTAATAAAGTCAAAATATTTTTAGGGTTGTTATATGTTTAGTATAAATATAAATAACATATTTATATATATATATAATAATATAAATAATATACATATAAATAACATATTTAAATAAAATATTTATTTAGTATAAATATAAATATAAAACACATTGAAATAATATTATTTTGAAATCTTGATAAAAATTTTTGTTTAGCTTGTGTTTTTTTTGTTTGTTTTTTTGTACTTTTATATTCATTTTCCCCCACTTGTTTGGTTTGGATGGTTTTCCATAGTGACATAAAGGCCACTATGAAAGAGTTAAAGCAATGTTTCACAACCTGATGCCCTTCCTGACGTTAACTTGAGTAACAATTTTTTATTTGTAAATATTTGCAATAACTTTTAATAAAAAGTTAAACTCTATTAATGGATACACAGGCATAAGAAAAATAAAATCAAGTTCATCTTGCATGGAGTTTGTGATTAGATTAGTTGAATTGTTGTGAATTATCAGATAGTTACATAATCTTATTTCTTTTATTATTACATTTTTTTAACATAACTCTTTCCTATATACCTTTCATAATTTATTTTATACGTTTATATTATATTAATACGTTTATATTATTATTACGCAGCCAAATTTTCCGTTTTAAATTAGACGTCTTAGTCTTGTCCAGGGCCGGCGCCTACAGGTAATTAAAGTAAATGTAAGTCGTAAAAACAGTGTCGTTAGAGGCTCTTCTAAAAGTTCTCCTAAATAGGGCCTCATTTTATTTAAAAAAACTTAATTTTTTAAGTAATACAAAAAGCGTCTTATATTTTGAAAAGGGTCCCGTTAAATTAGGGGCCCATGCCCCTAATTTAGGGGCCCATGCCCATAAATTAGGAGTGTATGGTACTGCGTAAGAATAATTAGCAGGTAGAACAAAATTTCATCAATTTCTAACATGTCGTTGTTGAAAAATGTACTTAATATGTTTAATATATATGATGTAACAACATAATATTTTTGAATTTTACTAAAAACCAAAGTTATTTTGTTCTATCTCCAAAAGAGGGTGCGAAAAAAAAGGCGTTAGCGTAATTTTAAAAAGTTTTTTTTATCTAAAAATTAATAATAAAACATTTTTAAATCTTAGGAAATACCTAAATTCTCAAAATATTTTTTCAATTTAGCTGCGAACAAATTCAAACTTTGACATCGATTTTCTCAGTTTGCAAAAACATGGAGATAGCACAAGATAATTCTAACGTCGCGACATGTGTATGTTTATATATATCTTTTGATTGTAATATAACTTTTATGTTTTCATTTTTTCATGTTTTCTTTTTTGTTGTTGTTGTTGTTGCTGTCGATTTTTGTTTTCTTGAATGAATTATTCAATTTTCTTTCAATGTACTTTGAAATTTGAATATAAATAGCATTGCATTACCCTAGTTAACCTTCATGTTAATGAGAACTTTTCAATAATTAAAAATATTTTTTAAACATTAAAAATAACTTCGAAAGACTCTATTAAACTATTTTGCATTTTGTATAAACTTCTTTGAAACATTTTGCTTTTTTCTCTAATTTTTAATCTTTAATTTTAGTTACAACGTATTTAAATAAACATCTTGAAAAAACAAGGGACTTGGTGATAAGGCAAACCTGTCTTCTTCATGTCCTTGCCATTTATATACATATATATATATATATATATATATATATATATATATATATATATATATATATATATATATATATATATATATATATATATATATATATATATATATATATATATATATATATATATATATATGTATATATATATATATATATATATATATATATATATATATATATTTATATATATATATATATATATATATATATATATATATATATATATATATATTATAAAACACGGAACTTGTAAATATTTAAACTGCTAAATAAATGAAGAAAAAAAAAAAAAAAAAAAAGGGGCAAAATAATACGCAAAAAATAACGACAAAATCGGGAAAATCATATTTTTTCAAAAAACATTATAAACATAATTATGTCTTGTTTTTTTTTTGCAATTAGCCTTATTCCTGGAATTTCATATGGCGGCTACCTAGCCGAAAACTCTATTTTCATGAATTTTTTTTTGTGGAGGAGTCCAAATAGCACATCTAAAAAAAGAAAATGAACCCCTAGGAGGGGCTCAAGCCCCACCACCCCATCTGGATCTGTCCCTAATCAGTAATAGTGAGTTCAAATCACCATAATAGGTATACTTAAGCATACTGGTATTTAAATTATTCAGCAAAATGCTATACTATCGCCAAGTAGATAAGGGACCACAAAGGGCCGAAATTTTAAAGTACACATCAAGTATTTTTTGGGATGTATTACACAGCAAAAAGAATTCTTTGTATTACATGATCATTTATACTAATAAATGATAGTAAAACTTACAGAGATTTTGTTTTTTAATAAAATTTTAATGAATTTAAACGAAAAAAATGCTATCGATAAAAAGGGTAAACACTTGAGCTTATCCAAACAAACAATGTATTTTTATGCCACCTAGTGATTAAAAATGAATGATACGAAAGGTAGCGTTCGTAGAGTGCTGTTTAAACTAACCAAAGCCAAAATGCGAAAGAAAAAGCTAGAGTTCTGTAAAATTCCCCACTCCGGTCCCTTTAATGGAACTTTTTCAAACGCTCAACTAGAATTAAACGAACGTTAATATGACAAAAATAATCAATTCAGTTAATAGTCAAATAATCCATCTATCGAATTCAAATGAAAACAGAAAACTTAAAAACCATAGGTCACTGTGTTTAAACGTGATTTTTTCAGAAACTAGATCCCGCCATGTGGTCCCTTTTCTACCGCGAAGTCACATAAATGTCTTTTGAATTAATATTCTGTGCCGAAACCAAGGGCTCAGTATCTAAGGTACCCCCTTCAATTAACTTTCTTATAAAAAAAAAGGTGTGTGTGTGTGGAGGGGTTCAAAGGTGTACGGGAGAGTGGGGGGACTTAAAGTACGCATGGCAACAGGGGGAGAGGGGGGAGAGGGTCAAATTTCGAAATTTTAGGCGTACGTACATTATGGACGACCCCTTAACAAAATCTTAAGGCCCAAATATACTGAAAATTCTAATTTTTGAAAAACAAAGAACTAACTAATTTCCTCTCACCGAACATGATTAGACCTAAACACAATTTTATACTATTAAAATATTATTATTATTTTCTACTAAGCAATAAAAATATTTTAACTTTTTGCCAAAAAGTCTTATTTAAATGTTTTTTAAAGTTTTATTACTTTTGTAGATTAGAATCAATATTATTTAACAAACAGAAAGAAACAAGAGCACTGATTCTCATCTGACAATGTGTAACTAAGATACATCATTTGACTCAACTAACTTGGTTGAGCTATTTATCTTGTGTTAGTTACACATTGTTATTTATCTCATGTTAGTTACACAATGTTACTTATCTAGTGTTAGTTACACAATGTTATTTATCTCGTGTTAGTTACACAATGTTATTTATCTCGTGTTAGTAACACAATGTTATTTATCTCGTGTTAGTTACACAATGTTATTTATCTCGTGTTAGTAACACAATGTTATTTATCTCGTGTTAGTAACACAATGTTATTTATCTCGTGTTAGTTGCACAATGTTATTTATCAATAACAATAACAATGTTAGTCACACAATGTTATTTATCTCGTGTTAGTTACGCATTACTTTTGCTGTAACATGTTATTTGTCTTTTATTATCTTGACTTTATTAAAATATATAATATTTTGACTATATAAAATGACAGTTAGTTGAGTTAATTGATTTGGGTTTGTTACACATTGTCAGACGAGAATCAGTAAGCTGTGCCATGTCATTTGTCTTGTGTTAAATATAATCAAATGACATCTGCAATAAACTTTAGAGAAATAATAAGTTTTACATCTCTAACTTAATTTCAAAAATTTAAGAAGTAATTAATCATTTTAATTTTATCTTTAATAATAATAATGATAATAATAATAATAACAATAATAAAATATTATCAATAGTAAAAATAATAAGAACAACAACAGCATTTAATTATCTAATAATGAGAATTTTTTATTATTAAGTAATTGAATTTTCATTATTAAGTAATTTTACAATTAAAAACAAATTAAATTATTTTTAATCATTTTTTATTTTATTTTTAAATAATAACATGAGTGAAAACCATTAAAAAATGAGTCCAAAATTGTAAACTTTGGTGAGCTCAAAACCTAGAAAAATCTTAAATGGCAAGTGTCCTATTCGCTTTTAGCTTTATTACTAAGTACCTTCTTTCGTTGAGTTAACATATGCACATATAAATGATAAAAAGCAGGTATATAAAGAAACAAAATAAAATAACAGGTATAAACATAATCGATGCTAAAATTCAATGAATTTGGAAGAGTAATGGAATAAAAGCCTCCTTTTTTTGCCAGAGGAAGAGAAGCAACAATACAGATTACTTCCCCAAGAACACCAATTGGGTAAAGAACAATGAAAAAAGAATACCGACACCATTGTAATGTAGTACTTCCAATATCCATCAAAGAGTTTGTATAAAAAGAGTAACGAACTATCTCTGTTATTGTCCATGCAAAAAGAAGCAGAGGAAACCCAATCGTATCTTTTACTTCATCATGCTTCATCAGTATTCCATCAACAACAATAAAGAGTGTAAAAAGACGTGAAAGTACTTGCGGTATGGTATTAAGAGCAGAAGATTGTACAATTCCAATTAGTGAATGAATAATTTCCAAAACTGCTGCTGCTTGAGATAATTTCAACCAAAACTTGATGTCATTATATAAACCATGAAAGCTATTTTTTTCACTAACATATACCAATGTTTTTAGTAGTACCAAAGTCCATGTCACTACTAATATACTGTTATAAATAACAAGATAAATTTTTCTCTTGTAGACTTTATCCACAGGAGTAGACAATTCTTTTTGATCTTTTGTTGACATTCCTATATCAGTATAATACACAAATTTTAGTCTACATATTTATATAAATAGTAAAGATTTTTGATATGGAAATACACACACACAGACATACACACACAGACACACACATATATGTATGTATGTATGTATGTATGTATGTATGTATGTTTGTATGTATGTATGTATGTATGTATATGTATATGTATATGTATATGTATATGTATATGTATATGTATATATATATATATATATATATATATATTTATATATATATATATATATATATATATATATATATATATATATATATATATATATATATATATATATATATATATATATATATATATATATACATGGTAGCTTTTCAGGGAAGGTTTTTTTCAAAAATGAAGATCATAAAGATGCAGACAATTAGGATCAGTATGAAGAGAAACAGCAGTTCATTACATATACATACATACATACGTACATAAATACATAATATGTATATATATATATATATATATATATATATATATATATATATATATATATATATATATATATATATATATATATATATATATATATATATATGTATATATATACATATATATATAAATGTATTCTACAAAAAGAGTGCTCAATGTTTAAGAACATTGAGCACTCTTTTTGTAGAATACATTTTAAATTGTTTATATATATATATATATATATATATATATATATATATATATATATATATATATATATATATTTATTTCTACAGTATAGATATTACAAATCTTTGCAGAGTAGGATTATTGTAATCCTACTATAGTAGCAATTAGTTAATCATTTGTTTTTTGTTAGGGCATCATATTTTTTCTTGAATTCATTAACTGTTTTTGACGTTACTAAGTTATTTGGTAAATTATTCCAATGTGGCACTATCCTGTTGCTG